AATTTTATGTTTCTGCATGAAAACTCCACTTTGGACGAAACAAAATAAATATTAAGCCAGCTGATTGTCAATGCGCGCAAAAAGATGGGACTTGGCCGTCTTTTCGCTACGCGCTGCAGCTGAAACGTTCAATGTGGCATGCTTTGTGCATTTTCATACACTTCATCTTATCTGCCAAAGCGAATCTGTCACGCAAAGAGAAGCAAGCGTTTTATCTGGCATCAGCTTTAAGTGTTGCTTAATTTATTTTAGTTGGCTTTGCTTTTTGTTTTTGCTCAATTTAATTTTTATCACTTTTCAAAACAAAAAACCAACAATTGGAAAGAGGTATAAAGATTTTGAACTTCTTTACTAAACAAATGATTTTTTTTAGAATATGTTTGAGTATGCAGTTTAATAGCTCATGAAATCCTAGGGCAATAATGTGCAAGTTTTAAATTGCTAAAGAATCGCGTTGATTTTTATTACATTTTTTTCTGACTGCGTGACGCATTTTTTTCCATACAAAAAAAAATCGAATATATTTTGTATGGAAAAAAATTTTTACGCTCTAAAAAATCTAAAAATCTGAATAACTTGAAAATTTAGCTGAAAATTTGAAGATTTTTTTTTTATAATTTTTGCACAAAGTGGAAACGTGAATTTATATGGTGTTTATTATACATATAATGAGCTAGATTTTATGGAAAAATAATAAACATTAAATAAGCATAAGAAAATAGCCAAAGTTGATCAAAATGCCGATGACTTAATCAGCTGATCACAAATGTAGATATGGGTGAGGCGATTGAACGGCCTTTCAACTAATCGCTTCCAATGAAATGCCCTTCAATTTTTGCTTCAACTAATCGCCTCATGTAAACACCGTATAACCAACAATTTAAACACTAGAAGTGGAAATGACTTATATGCAGTGTTGCCGTTTTAGCCCTTTGGTGGCTAAATTTGGCTACCAAATTCTTTTTTTGGCCACAAAAATTTGAAATTGCCCCTAGCCCTTTTTTTAGCCCTTTTCAAAATTTATTCATCAGTGACATTAAATTTGTTTTAATGATTTTCATGAATTTAACTCTTCGCTCATAAAGCGAACGCCTTTCCTTTAAGGCAAGTAAACATATGTCTATGTATGTTCCTTACGTTTCTGGGCCGTTATCTTATCCGTTAACGATTTAACTATACTTTAAAATAGGTAAGTTGGCGGCCCTTAATATGCTTTATGTGTTACACAAAAAGTTTTTTTGTTGAATAAAATATTAATTCTTTTCAGAGTTCATTGTTTTTCTATACCAGTAATTATAGAAAATGTTTGCGTGTATACTTACATATTTATACTAGCAGTACCCCGGTGTGCTTCTCTATACCAAATATTGAAAAACGAATGAAAAGTCCTGGAATTTTTCTATATGAAAATTTATCATTTGTTTTATTTCAAAATTTTTGATTCTTTATTTTAAATCTTAATCCAACACATTTGGATATACAACATTTTTTGTTTTTCCATCTTGGGTATGAACAAATAAACAATTTGGAATGCCAACTCTTGAACAGGCCAGGTATAGCTACCAATTCCAGTAATCTATCACAAATATTTCAAGAGATATACCAGATGAACATTTTTGTTAGTACGGGTGGTGCCACTCCCCCTTTTCCGAATTCGAGGAAACACAAACACAAACCATCTGCATAATAGCCCGACTATGCCGTATAAATTTGGT